TCCCTCCCTCCCTCCCTCCCTCCCTTCCTCCTTCACTTCCTTCCTTCCCTCCCTTCCTTTCTTCTTTCCTCCCTCCACCCCTTCCTTTCTTCCCTCCCTTCCTCTCCCTTCCTCCTTCCCTTCCATCCTCCTTCCCTCCCTCCCTTCCTCCTTCACTTCCTTCCTTCCCTCCCTTCCTTTCTTCTTTCCTCCCTCCACCCCTTCCTTTCTTCCCTCCCTTCCTCTCCCTTCCTCCTTCCCTTCCTTCCTTTCCTTCCTCCCTTCCTCCCTCCCTCTCCCTTCCATCCTTCTTCCCTTCCCCCCCTCCCTCCTTCCCTCCCTCTCTCCCTCTCTCATATCTTAACATCTTAAATCTTGGTTTTACAGCCGGCTCTCCCATTACCCGAAACCTTGCAAACCTGCTTATCTCCATCCCACGCTCAAATGAAAACAAACCGAATGCCATTTATTTATCCATTCATTTATTTATTTTACACCAGCTCCCCCTTTTGCAGATTCCAAAGTTTGGTGTGTGTGTGTGTGTGTGATTGTAACGCAAATTTATCTTTTATTAGTTCCGGGAACTGGTTCGGGCTGGAAGCCGCGAGGGTCTTAAAAGCTTAAAAAATAAGCTTCTTTAAAATAATAACAACAATAACAACAACAACAAAGCTCAAACCACTTTGCCGAATCTTGACTTCATGGCGATCAGGACTGACACCCCATTCTGACCGGGGGGGGGGGGGAAGCAGAAACAATTGTTCTGAATTGCGGCTTTTGATGCCGGAAAGATGGGATCTCGGCAAACGCCTGTGTGATTTACACGGTTCCTTAAAATGTGAGCCCTTCAAGGGGGCAAGAGGTGGTTTTTATGTGCTGCTCTTGACTTACGGGTAGTCCTTGACTTACGACGGTTCGTTTAGTGACGGTTCGAAGTTACAACCGCACCGAAAAAAAGAGATTGTCGTTCATGCCGACGTCCTGCCGTCAGGCGATTAAAACTCAAAACGCTTGTCCACCGACTCGTATTTATGACGGTCGCAACATCCCGGGGTGTGTGTGTGTGTGTCACGCAGTCGGTCCTCTTTTGCGAGCCATCTGACCAGCCTAGCCGGATTCACTTAACGACCGTGGGACACACTTTTAACAACAGCAGGGATTCACCTGACAGCTGGGGCAAGGGAGGTCGTGCCATCATCGGTCCGAGCCCGCTTTACCGATGTCTCGCTTAGCGACATAAGGGTGGTCGTAAGCCGAGGACTGGAGTGGCAGAATCTGGCTCCCACTTTCCGTCCAAAGTCCGAGAAAGTTTTAAGGCGAGAAGCAAACTTTGCCCTAAGAAATCCTCGCCAAGATTTTCCCAGCGGTGGCTCGCTGAGCTTGTCGATCAGAAAGGTCGGCATTTCAGCGGTTCGAATCCCTGGCGCCGCGTAACAGAGTGAGCTCCCATTCCTTGTCCCAGCTTCTGGCACCCCAGCAGTTTGAAAGCACATTAAAAAATGCGAGTAGAAAAATAGGAACCACTTTTGGTGGGAAGGNCAAGGCCAGGTGCTGGCGCCTGGAGGCTCGGCGGTCTGAGATGGTCAGCCAGTTCCAGGCCGTGATGCCGTCCCACTGGAACGAGGCCCTCCGGCTCTTCGCCACCAGCGGCTCTTCCCTCCAGCCTTCGCCCAAAGCCCCCCACCAGGAGGCTGAAGCAGACCCCAAGTTGCAATTTCAGCCCCCCACAAAAAGACCCCGAAGAGGGAGACTCCCTGCAGCAACACAAGCGTCCATTGCACGCACCCGTCCCAGCGGTCGTAGTTTGAGGACCCCTGATTGAGTGCAATATCAAACATGCAACTAATTTTTCCCGCGGCCCACCAAAATTTTCTCGCGGGCCACCAGTTGGTGACGGCGGATCTAGAGGGGGACACAGACTCTCAATGGATCCCAGCTGCCACCCACCCCCCTCTCCCACCCCCCCTTGTCTGCTGGGTGCAGATTCAGCACATGAACCCCCCCAAAATTGACATCTCCGGTTGCCCTAGCAACCGACAGTACCTTCAAGGTGAAAACAAGAATAAAAACAGACTTTTCCCCGTATATTATTTCTCTCTTCTCTTCCCCCGCGTTTCTCTCGGGCAAGCCTGTTATCAGATAGCCTCCTACACCCGTGAGCCGTCAGGATACCGGGGCTGGCTGGCATTAGCCCAGCTTCCAAGTTTCCCAAACCTTTGCCCCCCACCCCACCCCACCACCTTCCTCCCCGATGGGAAGGAAGAAAGGGGGTGCGAGGTAAGAAGCCAACGCTGCCCCCCCCCACTTCCCTGGCACGGGCTGCCATGATTCAGCTCAGCGGGCATCAGCCGCCAATCCAGATCGAACGTGTGCAAAACGGGGGAAAAAATCAACCGAATCCCGAGCAGTTTTGCAGAGAAAGGGATCGCAAAAGATTAGCCCCCTAGCTTAACGGGCAGCCGGAAGATGTCAACAGGATGGGGATTGAAAAGAAGAGCCAATCGATCAGAATCTGGATGGAGCTGGAAGGGTGGGGAGGGGGCTTGGAGGTCTTCTAGTCCAACCCCCTGCTCAAGCAGGGGACCATAATGGCTAAGGGAGAGGGATGCTGTCTCGCCCCGTTTTATGACTTTTATGGAACCCCCGTGGTTAAGTGAAGCTCTGCAGTTGTGGTAACCCGTTGTTGTGAATCTTCCTTCCTTCCCTTCCATCCTTCGTCCCTCCCTCCCTCCCTTCCTCCTTCCCCTCCCTCCCTCTCTTCCTTCCTTCCCTTCCTTTCCTTCCTCCCTCCCTCCTTTCCATCCTCCTTCCCTCCCTCCCTCCTTCTCTTCCTTCCTTTCCTTCCTTCCCTCGCTTCCTTTCCTCCCCTCCATCCCTCCCTCCCTTCCTTCCTCCTTCCCTCCCTTCCTTTCCTCCTTCCCCTTCCTTCCTTCCTTCCCTCCCTTTCCTTCCTCCCTCCCTCCCTTCCTTTCCTCCTTCCCCTTCCTTCCTTCCTTCCCTCCCTTTCCTTCCTCCCTTCCATCCTTCCTTTCCTCCTTCCCCTTCCTTCCTTCCTTCCCTCCCTTTCCTTCCTCCCTTCCATCCTTCCTTTCCTCCTTCCCCTTC